AAAAAGAATCACTGCATATCAACCAAGTGATATAGGGGGTGGGCATTGTGGGGGGAAAAAACATAGAGGACAAAGAAATCCCAAATATCTAACAAGTGATGATGAAGGAACAGACCAATTAGTAAGTAACTCTACCCCATCTCTGTAACCAAGAATTGTAGCATGAAAATATAAACATCCTTTCTCACTAAGATGGCATAACAGGACCAGAATAATGCACCCCCACACACCTTAAATAGTCAAAAACCTGCACAAAATGGCAGTGGGTTAAAAGACACTGGAGATCAGGCCACATAGGCATGTGTTCCCTGAGAGATGGAAAACAAACAAGGTGAGCCCTACAATTGTTCCAGCTTACTACCCTGAGAGTTTCCAGAACAAGGAGGGAAAACACAGACAATGCCCAGCAGACTCTTTCAGTTGGAAAGATATTGCCGAGAGTCCAAGTAGACACCAATGCAATAAGAGTTTGCAGGACTGATATTGGAGACAAGAAAACTGTACAGAGAATGAACTCCAGAGATCCATAAAGGGTCCCCCTCAAGTATTCATCAATATACTCAACATCAGGTACATGTGAGGAAACTACCTAAAGCAAGGGAACTAATTAGAAGGAAAAGTTCCTGGCACTTAGGGTCAGGAATTCTGAAAGTATAACTCACAGGGTATTGGTAGAGTTCTCAGGAAGTCTTGCCTCAATAGTGAGGTAGTTCTAGGAAAAGCAACACTTTGGTCTTGCTTAAGAAATGTTAACAGCAAGACCTGAAAGTCATTTCCCAGTAACTTAACTGTGTCCCAGAACAAAACTCAAAAATATTTATAGGAATACAAAAATATCCAGAATGTACAAAGTTAAATAAAGAATTTTTTGCATCCAATCAAAAATTACTAGACAAGCAAAGAAGGAGGAAAATACAACCCACAACAAAGAGTAAAATCAATCTAAACTGACACAGAACTGATACAGATGTTAAAATTAGCAGACAAGAACATTAAAACAGAGATTGTTACTATATTGGAGACATGGGAGATATTTTAAAAGACCCAAATTGAGTTTCTAGAAGTGAAAAATTCAGTGTCTGAGATTGAAAAAAAAAAACCTCACTGGATGGAATTAATGGCTGGTTAGACATTATAGAAGAAAATTAGTGGCTGGTTAGACACTACAGAATAAAAGATTCATGAACTGAAGACATAGCAATAGAAACTATCCAAAACGAAACAGAAAGAAAAAATGAGGGCCGGCCCGTGGCTCACTCGGGAGAGTGCGGTGCTGATAACACCAAGGCCCCGGGTTCGGATCCCATATACAGATGGCCGGTTCGCTCACTGGCTGAGCGTGGTGCTGACAACACCAAGTCAAGGGTTAAGATCCCCTTACCAGTCATCTTAAAAAAAAAAAAAAAAAAGAAAAAATGAGCTGTGGGACGACTATGAGCAGCCTAAGATACATGTGATTGAAGTCTCCAAATGAGAGAAGAGAAAAGGGGTGAGGAAACAGAAAAATAATATTTGAAGAAATAATGGCAAAAATTTCTCAATATTTAATGAAAGCTTATTATAAACTCACAGATCTAATAATTACAACAAACTTCAAGCACCAAAAATATGAAGAAAATTAAATCAAGTTTAGTTTATGAAATTGTACAAAACCAGTGATAAAGAGAAAAACCTTAAAAACAGCCAGAAGGAAAAATGACATATTACATATAGAGGAACAAATAAAAGGATGACAGCAGATTTCTCATTGGAAATGATGCAAGCAAGAAAATAGTGGGGCAACCTCCTTAAAGAATTAAAGAAAAAACATGTCAACATATGCGGTGAAGATATCTTTCAAAAGTAAAGGCAAAATAAAGACTGCAAAAACCGAAAGAATTCACAAGTAGAACCATTAGAAAAGAAATGTTAAAGGAAGCTCTTCAGACAGAAAAAAAAGAGATATCAGAATGAAATATGCATCTATACAAAAGAATGAAGAGCATTAGAAATGGTAACATCTGAGTTTCTTACGGCCACTGTAATAAATTACCACAACTTGGTTGCTTACAACAACACATATTTCTTCTCTTATAATTTTGAAGGCCAGAACTCTGAAATGGTTTTCACTGAGGTAAAAGCAAGCTGTTGGCAGGATTGTGCTCCCTCCAGAGGCTCCAGAGGATCCATTTCCTTGCCTTTTCCAGCTTCTGGAGGCTGTGCTCATGCCTCGACTCATAACCCCACATTGCATCACCTTTCATCCCTGTTTCCATCGTCATACCACTTCTATCTCTTCTTCCTCTGTCTTCTCCTAAACACACTTGTGATCATATTTAGGACCCACCTAGAAAATCCAGGATAATCTCTTAAATCATATATAGTATGTTCTGTGACCACAAGAAATTTCAATCAGAAATAAATAGCAAAAAGATCTCTGGTGGGCTGGCCCCATGGCTCACTTGGGAGAGTGTGGCGCTGGTAGCGCTGAGGCCGTGGGTTCGGATCCTATATAGGGATGGCCGGTGCATGCTCACTGGTTGAGTAGTGCACGCTCACTGGTTGAGTATGGTGCAGACCACACCATGCCGAGGGTTGCAATCCCCTTACCAGTCAAAAAAAAAAAAAAAAGAAAGGTCTCTGGAAAATATTCAGATATTTGGAAACTATATAACACCCTTTGAAATAACTCATGGGACAAAGAAATCACAAGGGAAATTAGAAAATATTTTTAACTGAATAAAAATGAAAACACAATATATCAAAATTACAGGATGCTGTTCAAGCAGCACTTGAGCAGAAATTTACAGCACTAAACATACATATTAGAAAAGACGGCAGGTCTCAGATCAATGACCTCAGCTTCCATCTTGAGAAACCAGAAGTAGAAGAGCAAATTAAGCCCTAAGCAAGCAGAAGCAAGGGAAAAGAGCAGAAAGCAATGAAATAGAAAACAGAAAAATAATAGGAAAAAAGGCAATGAACTCAAAAGCTAGTTCTAAGAGAAGATGAATAAAATTGATTAACCTCTAACCAGTCTGATTAAAAATAGACACAAACTATAATATCTAGAATAAGATAAACGATGTTATTATAGTTTGTATAAATACTAAAATAATAATAATGGAAATGACACCAATGTGATGGTGAAAATTAGATTGTTTCCCCGTTCCTAGTCAACACTGTACTGAAGAATTAAACTGGAGCAATTGTCCAGTTAAAAAAATAATAAAAGCCTTCCAATTCAGAGAAAGAAAAATAAAAGTGTTCATATTCACAGACAAAATTATCTTTTACATAGAAAATCCAATCGAATCTACAAAAAAAAGCTACCAGAACAAATAAGGAGTTCAGCAAGTTGCCATATAAGCTCAATATGAAAAAATGTGTATATATTATGAATTAACAATCAGAAACTGTGATTTAACAAAATAACATTGACTATAGCATCAAACACAAGGAAATGCTTAGATGTACAAGACCTCTACACAGAAAACTACAAAACACTGTAGCAGTTGTATTCACAATATCCCCAGAATGGAAACAGCCAAAGTATCCATCAGTAACAGGAAGAATAGATGGATAAATCATGGTATATTCATACAATTGAATATTACAAAGCAATGAAAAAGACAAACTATTGATACATGCAAAAATATTAATGAATCTTAGAGACATTATTGAATTAAAGAAGCCAGGCACACACAGAGTACACACTACATGATTCCATTTATTCATGAAGTTCCAGAAGCAAAACTAATCTGTGGTAAGAGTGGCCACCTCTGGCTGGTGCATGTGTGTGCCTGTGCATGTTGGCAGGGGAGAGGGGAGAGAAAGCCATGATATTGGTATTGACAGGCAATAGGCAAAAGGAACCTCCCAGGGTGATGGAAATGTTCTGCATCTTGATACGGTCGGTGGTAATACAAGTGTACACGTTTGTAAAACTTTATCCAATTGTGCTCTTCAGAGATTATATTTCACTATATGTAAGTTATACTTCAATTAAAACTGCATTAGGCTTTGACACAAGCAGAAGCTGTATCCTCTTGAGACACCCAGAAATGACTGGTGTACGCACCAAGATCTGCCACGCCAGCCAAGACCCATTTCAGAGTGCCCAGGATGACAAAACAGAGCTCTAGGGCTCTGAGAGGTCTCTTGTTTCCTGGCATGACTCCTTCGTTGATTATTTTTCTTTCATACCATGACTTCACGTGATGTAGACAGAGCCAGGGTAACAATCGCCCTGTTCTAGGGCCTGCCTTACTCTTTGCTGTCCCAGAACTCTCAGTCCCTTTCTTTGAGCGACTTAGCAGGGGTTAGTCTATCAGTGCAGCATGCTCTTTCCAGTCCTCCCACCTCTCTATAACGGGAAAGAGACAAGGCAGAGAGGAGAAGGAAGAAAGGCAGGGTGGTAGAATGGATAGAGCATGAGCTTGGGGTCAGTTAGAACCGAGTCCTCATCTGACCATACATCAATAGCTTTGTGGCCTTGTGCCCCAGCCTCCTATGAGGACAAGAAATCCCACATTCAAGAGAAAGGGTCTGGATCTAATGACCACAAAATAATCATAGGCTGGTATTATATTTAATATATTGATATTATCCATCATCATTTCTCAAGACTTTGTGGTTGCTGGCCCTTTCTTACGCTCTGTAAAGACAAGAAACCATGGTTCTAATTAGGGTAACTGTAAGGTGGTGGCTGTACCCCATAAAGACCCTTGACTCAAGAGTCTAACTTAGGCTGCGCTCATTAATCAACAATGATTCCTTTCTTGATGTTTTAAGCTAGTCCTCTAAAACCAGTTAAGTTCCCCTCTACTATTTCAAAGGACTGATTGGCATTATTTCAGAATACAGTATAAAGTTGCAGATTCTCATGGCTCTGACTCACCTCTCTGATTTGGGGTCCGCTTTGTTGGGATCAGCCCGAGAAACCTTCATCTCACTAATCCGGATCTTTTCTACCTTCTTTTTGCCAAGGCATGAATAATAAATATAGAACTTGTGGTTGTGGTGGAATTTGGGATGAAAAACCAACCCTAAGAAGCCTCTCTCATCCCCAATCCATGGAGTAGTCAGAACGATGCTCCTGAGGTCCAAGAACGGTTGCTCCAGATGGCTCCCATCTGGGAGGTAGACCCACACCACTCCTACCTGCTCAGCAACAAAGAAGCGATGGGTGCCATCCCCAGCATGGACCATGGCAACGGGGTTCCTCAGCCCGTTGGCCACCTCAGTCAGGCAGAGTTGCAGGCAGCCCTGATGGTCCTTGGCCACCACACCCAGGTCATGGTTGAGATGGTCGTTCCTCAGGACATTGGGGAAGCAATAGTCTTTGTCAGGAAGATTGAGGAGGTGGCAGAAGTGGGCACCATCCTTTTCATGGGACTCCTGGAGGCCATGACCTTTGGTCAGCAGGGAGATGGCAGAGTGGCAGTTAGAGTGGAACGCAGAGCAGTAGTCAGAGCAAAGTCCAGGAAGCTTCCGGAGAGGCGTCAGAGGGTTCTCAGCATCGTAGAGGTGGGCTGCATAGGGTGAGCACTCCTAGAAAAGAAAAGAAAGCCCAATCTCAGCAGTCAGACTGGCCACGGTGGGGCTTGTCTCAATTTTTGAGCAAGAAGAAATTAAAAATGGTCTAAGAAAAAATTAGTATTCTGGAGTTTTTGTTACCAACTACTAGTAACTCACTTGTTGTCTCTGTGACCCAAATTTTCTACCCAGTTAAAGCTCCTAGAAAGCAGAAGGGAAAAAAACTCTCATATTCCCTATACTGTCTCTAACATTTCAGCTTAGTTCTTGCCACTTAATGTTTTATTACATGATGAATGAATATTTTTTAACAGGAAATTTTACCAAATTTCCTAATCTTTCATTTTTTATAAATGATGTATCTGCAAGATTTTATTTCTTTATACAAATTGGAAGCAATTTGGCATGAAGTTTCATGCTTGTTAAAACTGGACGTTGGGAAAGCTGCAGCCAGATGGTGGACTAGAAGTGCCTGGGGTGTATTCCCCCACAGAAAAGGACCAGAACAGCTAGCAGACAGCTAAATATTGATGGGAGCATGTGTGGGAGAGTGTGGGGGTACAGCAAGAGACTGGTGAGTCCCTATGGAGCATGAAAGCCCAGGATGGTGACACAGAGAGGAGAGACACAGGCCTCAGCCACCATGTCTCTGACACCAGGCACAGGAAGAATTTCCCCTTGCAGCAAAAAGGTAGGCAGAGGACCTCCACCAACCGCACCCTCACCACAGAGACCCACAGACCCTTTGGCAAGCCAGGTCTAGATAAAAGTGTGGGGAGTGGCCTAGAATACACACACTGCATTTCTTTAGAACACTAGCACAAATGGTGCACTCCCCAGTACCCACTCTCGTGACCCAAGATGATTCAGGACAGCATCATCTTGAAACCAGAGCCTCTACAGGAGCACTCCCTGCCCTGCGGCCAGTAGCCATGATGCTTCCCCAGCCTTAAGGCTCTTCCCTGTCCCAGCACAACCACAGGAGAAGCTACAATACCCTGATCCTGGCAGCTTGAAGCCTGGGCTCACAGCAGCCATGACTCTAGTTGTGCACTCTGGGAAGCCAAACCTGGTCCTGTTGAACTAACACACCTCCATGTCCCCAGCCAAAAATCAGACAGGCAGACCACCCCCTACTCCTCCCCCTACCCGCCAGCGCCTCCAACTGAGTCATGTGTGCCCGAACCCTCAAGCCAGAAAAACAGCTCACGGGTCTCTACCCTAATGAATATGTCCTCAAGCTAGTGGAAATAAAGTGCATCCCTCTCCTGCAGAAGCGGGCAGTTGGCTCCACCCTGAACAGCACTGCCTGGAAGCCTTGCCAACAGTCCCGGAAGCAGCTGCACCAGCTCCCTCACTGCAGGCTTACCTAGTGGCCCTGCCCTCTACCCAAAAGTGGCTGGACAGGCCACTTCACCACAGACCAGCCAAACAGCTCTGTCCACTTGTGGGGAAGAACCAGATGGGCCCCCTCACTGCAGGACTGCTAGCTGCCCTGCCCACTGACTGGAAAGAGGCTGCTCAGCCCCCTCCCCACCTAGCAGCACTGCCCACCATCCAGGAAGTATCTGGATGGGCCCCCTCACTGCAGCCCCACCCAGTGGCCTCACTCACTTCCTGCGAAGCAGCTCAGCAGCTCTGGCCTTGACTGTCCAACTGCTGAACCACAGAAGGAAGCATGACCTCAAATTGGGCCCCAAGAACTGGCACAACAGAAGGACCACTGGCAGACCTACACTCAGCTAGCTGAGCCAAAGCATGCCCACATCCTGGCTCAGAAAAACAGCTCAGCTGTCATACCCCTGGAAGACCTGCCCCTGAGTCTTTCAGCCATTACTTGCATATGCATCTGATTGAGAGACCATATGGCTGATGTGCCCTTGGTGGGCCCACCCCTGGTCAGAGAAGCAGCACAGTGACCCTGCCAGAGGGTAAAGCAGTGCCAGAGACCCTGACAGGCCATGCCTGCACCCCACAACTGAGAATCAATTGAGCAACTGCATCCCAGCTCCAGAGATGACTGACCACAGAGTAGATGTGCACACCCCCAGCCTGTGAACCAACCCAGTGATCCCTCCTCCCACTGCAAAGCCATGCCATCACCGCCACAAACCTCCAAGGCATAGGTCACTAAGTCAATTGCAGACATAATGAAAGTGGATTATAGGTGAAGAAACCACATAGAATCTGTACTACTGCATCTATATGGAACAAAACCATTGCACTGTACCCAATCAGCACTCTAAGACACATTTGCAGGTGAAAGTCTTTCCCCACACAAGCTATTCTACAAAATTAAAAAAGATGGCTGTTCCACCAGATCCACAGATATCAATGCAGGGAAGCAAGAAACATGAAAAATCAATGTAACATGACACCACCAAAAAACCAAAATCATGCTCCAGTAACTGATCCCAAAGAATTGAAAATTGCCAACTTGCCAGAAAAGAAATTCAGATTAATGATCTTAAGGAAACTCACTGAAATACAAGAGAATATATACAAACAGTTCAGTGAAATCAGAAAAACAATTCATGGGCCGGCCGTGGCTCACTCGGGAGAGTGTGGTGCTGATAACACCAAGGCCCCGGGTTCAGATCCCAT